TAACCAAAATATCAGCTTACCAAATTCAACACCAAAAAACACGCGCAATATGCTGCACCGATCACGGCACCTAGCCACGCTCCCATCACCATCACTATTGAAACAAGGATTCAGCATCAATAACGATCGAATTTCTATTTCTTTTTTGGTACAAAGACGCGAATAAAAGCTGTAGCTTCAGAAATGGGGTTGAATCAGTCAACAAGGAGGTTCCAGTGCTCAAATCATCATGTATTTATCACTGAATTTCGTAACAAATCATACAGAAAACATAAAGTACAGAAGATATGCAGTGCAAGTACTTATTCGAAATTCATCGAGGATCTAGTTCCGAAATAGAAGCCTCGTTGACAGAGTCTTGGATGGCTTCTCTTTCAGATTGATTAGATAATGACAATGACTCGGACATCGTGTTGGTATTCATAGAAAATGCAGGTCTCGATGGAACCGGAAGAGACATGGAATAGCTACTAAGCATGAGAACCACTGAGACCATGGTTGGTCTATAAGCAATGTTTTCTTGAACACAAAGCAATCCGAGATGGATGCATCTTATTATTTCGCTTCTCGACTCATCCCTCATAATCGGATCAACAAATTCCAAAGCAGTCCCTTCATTCTAGTTTCTCCATGCCTGCAAATGTTCGACGGTATGAACTTACATTGTCTTTTAGCAACATCAATTCCATTATATACCATAACCAGAGTATGGAGATCTTACATGGGTAAGCAGAGTCTCTCCTACTTGGTTGGTGAAGCTGTTGATTCTGTGCCCACTAATGATTTCTAAAACTAACACTCCAAAGGCATAAACATCAGATTTAACTGAATATTGACCATGCCATGCATACTCTGGAGCCATGTAGCCACTGCATATACGGATACATTTCAATGAATAAATGTAACAAACTAGATATAAAATCTCATCATTCATGATACTTACTAGGTCCCGACGATTTTGCTTGTATCGGCTCGAGTTTGATCAACCGCAAACAATTTCGCCATTCCGAAATCTGAGATCTTAGGATTCATCTCTTCATCCAACAATATGTTGCCTGCTTTTAAGTCCCGATGGATGATTCGGTACTGAGAATCTTCATGGAGATAAACCAGTCCCTTGGCTGTTCCCTCTATAATTTTGTACCTCTTGTCCCAGTTTAGTAGTAATCGCTTCAGTGGATCTGCAAAACTCGTAAAATTATAGGACTAAAATGCATGTTCAATAGGTGTAGTTTAGAAGGATTGAAACGGTACCGAATATAAAGTTGTCAAGGCTTGAATTGGGAAGAAACTCGTAGATTAGAACCCTTTCTTTTTGTTCGAAGCTAAAACCAAGAAGCTTAACCAGATTCCTGTGTTGAAGCTTCGCCAATAGCATGACTTCGTTCTTGAATTCTCGTGTTCCTTGTCCCGAATTTTCGGACAGCCTCTTTATAGCTACCTCTCGTCCATCTTCAAGCTTACCCTGATAGAATTCGGAACAAGGAACAATGAGGGAAAATAACAACTATTATTTCCTAGTATTCACTGTCACATATTCATTCCGTCTTTTTTCTTTGTGATGATGGAAATTTTCATACAGCAAGTCTTAAATGACCTTATAAACAGGACCGAATCCACCTCGTCCAAGCATGTTTGCATCGGAGAAGTTTTCTGTTGCAGCTCTCACTGCATGAAAGTCGATTTGCAGCGATTCAACGTGCATCTTGTTATCTGCAGGTTAACAAAGAATCATTTAAGTTGCATAACATTGCAAAGGATTGGTTATTAGTGAATTATCTTTTGTTATAAGACTACAACAGTAAAACAAAAAAAATCAAAAAGGCTAACTTACTTTGATCATTCTGTTTCTTTTTCTTGATCCTCATGGGAAGAACAACAATTCCAAGTATGACAAGCACTACGATGAAGGTGACGCTGGGAACAATTATAATGACTAATGTTCGGGATGAAATGCCTCCCCCTTCTGTACAAGCAAGAACATTGTAAGTACCTTTAGACAACATTATAATGACTAATGTTCAGCATGCATCTTGCAGACCGGTACTTACCTTTTCTGATTTCGGAGTTCACTGACTGTGGCGGAGGACTAGAAGGTGAGGGTGGAGGAGACAAAGACACCGTTGTAGAAGCATTGGCTGTATAGAAGGGATACAAATCCCACCGGAAATAACAGTTAGTCCTCCAAACAACACCTCCTTGCTTCCCATGGCAACAGCTTTCATAGCGACTTGCGGATTGCCTTAGGCAGTAGTCACAACGCTGCTCCGATAAATCTGGAGTGCACTGCATTAGTGAATATATCTTCTCGAACACCGTAACGTCTGCTTCCCCAGTTGCGTACTTGAGACTAGAAGAGCCTTTGGAAGCCTTACTCACCACACTGTTTATCAAACTCTCCCAAACCGTATCGAATTCGGTTAAGTTCGATGTGATGTTTCCCGTATTATAGACTTCCCAAGAGGGTTCTAGGTCCGGGGTTCCGAAAAATATGTGATCTGCATAATGCACAATACAGAAATCCCCTGCCCATGAATAGGCCTCTTTCTGGTTGGGACAAGTGTCCATGAGCTCGTGGATTGTGTAATTGACAACGCTAAAACATTCGTCTGGAGTAGAGTCTCCTTTGCACATAGCAAGAGCGTAAACTTTGTCGGAGCCCTGGCCAATAGTAGCGGTAATGAATCCACCGTTTGCAGAGGCATTACGAGGGAGTGAATCGAGAAGAAGGTCCCGGTTATTGCCATACGTGCTGTTTGTGGTAAAATTACCAGTGTCATAGCATCTTGTTGGAACAGCGGCAACAAGGCCGATGCCGATAACAAGATAGGAGAGAATTGAAGAAGCAGCTTTAAGTTTAACCCACATTTTGAAACTGCAAGCAAAACTGAATGGAAACTTAAAGTATTTCATTCATCGGTCTTTCCAGCGACTATGTCTTGGCAAAGGGGACCAGTTTTCCACTATTCCTACTTTTGAATTTACTACGTGCCTGTCATACTCTAGGACCCATTTGCCATTTACTTGGACTCTGGGGCTAACTAGTACAGTTCCTACACTTCTTATGGTTAAGAATTTTTTATTTTTCTTGTAAACCATATACGTCATTGTAAAATATGAAAAATATTGTTTATGATTTTAAAACTGAAAAAATTAATCTACATAAATACAGTTTTTTTATTTTATTTAAAATTAAACTATTAAAACCCAAAAATAAATTTCATGCAAGTTTAAACTATATTAATAATAAAGTATTTAAAGATATGATTTTATCAAATTATAATTAATTAAACTTAATACGTTAAGTTACAATTAAGTCACCAAATTTGTTTATGACACATTTTTTGTGTTTATGGTATATTTTTGTCTAATTGATTGTTGTTTTAGTTTATTTTTTTTCAGGGTTGAATTTGACATCGTAATAACTGATCAAGATGATACTTATTTGTTATTATGCTGATCTTTCTTGTTTTTTACCATCATATTGGACTTGGATACGCTATTTGCATTCCAGGATGGTTGTTCACGTCGCTCGACTTTGATTTATTTATGATACGTTTTTCTTCAATGTCAGTGTTGCTATAACACCCCAAAATTTAATTAAAAGAAAGTTGTGGAACAAATTGCAAATTTTCAAAAGTTTGCAGCTCATTTTTGGAACACGTGTGAAGTTCAGGGACTTAACCCTGAATTGTCCCATTTATTCTGGTCAGTGAAAAATAAAAATAAGAGAAAACCCCTGTGTGTTGGAAAACCAAGACCCCGAAAACCCAAACCCCAAACCAAACGACCCTACCATCGCCCCTTCGGTTAGCCACTTCTGGTCGGTGGTCTCGTGCACCGTCGTAGCCATGAACTAAAAAACGACTGGCGATCCAACCCTGACCCTTAGATCTCCCGTTTAGGCCGCCGTTAATCGCATGGAGAGAGAGAGAGATCGTTTGGAAGCCCTCCTCATCGCTCTATGCTTCGGCCAGCGGTGTAGGTCACCGTCGCCTCTAATCGAAGCACCAGGCCACCGCGTCCAAAACCCCTCTGTCAATTTGTCTAAAGGAGATACTATTTTTTGTGGAGAAGCTTCGTCAAAACCCTCGACGCCGCCACCGTACGATTTTGCTTCGGTTCTACTCGCCTCGGCCATCATCTCGCCTCACCGTCTGCACCATTGAACTCACCGTCTTCGTCCACCCAAACCCAACCGGTTGGTTACCTTGTCGTCGTCGGTTTCATCCGTCCGTCGTTGGTGAGCTTTCCAAACCCATTTTAATCTATTTAATCGAGTTATTGGTTGATTGTTGGGTTTAATTTTGGTTAGAAATAATGGGTTGAAAATTTTTAATTTTCATATAATTTAAGTATTTTCTATTTTTTGTTGATAATTTATTTCTGTAATCTCTAAAATTTTATAAATTCTACCATTAATAATTTATAAATTCACTCGAAAATAAAATCTTACATTCGTTCCTCTCATTGACTTTTCTTACGCAAACTTTTGAACCGATTTGTCGTACTCAATGTATTGAGCTGATTAATAGAGGTTATTGTTTTAGGACTCCAACCTTACCTTAATTATGCAAACCATACATAGGACCACAAGTAATAAATTAATAATGATCATTTGCATTGAAACAAATTTAATGATAGAATTAACTTAAGAAGTGGTCTCAATAATGAAATGAAGTATTATTTTTTAAAAATATTTAATTCGAATAATAATTACATCTACATGATATACATCTACAAGCGTTACCTGAAACAAAAAGAGCACAACCTTGAAGCATTTGTAAAGTTTGTTATTAAAAATTTCAGTTTTCAGGTTTATATTTTAAGTTGTAAGGATAAAATTTTGAATTTATTTTTCGGTATTTAGGTTGCGCCTTTTGGAAACCAAAATCTTTTAATGTATTTAATAAATAATTAAGTTGCAACATAAACTATGAATTGTAACCTATCAATAAAATATATGTAATAGGCTTCCTACTCGGATAAGACTTTTGAGAATGGGATTAAGCATTGAGAGTGATAAGTGTGTGCTTTGTGGTGTTGAGGCTGAAATTAGGGATCACTTGTTCTTTGATTGTGATTTTGTGAGGGAGTTGTGGGGTGACATCCTTACTTTGTGTGATGTAACTCATAGGGTTAGCTACGGGGATAGGGAGTTGGCATGGATCGTTCACTGTTTTAAAGGGAAATCTCTCCTTGTGAGGGTGATTAAGCTTGCTTGGGCTGGTCATGCGTATGACATTTGGAAGGAGAGAAATAGTAGGCTTTTTGGGGGGAAAACTAGACTGGTGGGTAATGTATTGAAGGACATCAAAGAAACTATTCAGATTCGGCTAAAAGGATGGACTATCAACAATGTTGATCCTAGGAACGATTCCCTTTGTGTGAAATGAGATATTTCTTAAGGTTGGGGTTCACTTGTAATGGTTATTTCTTTTGTTGTTTGTATTAGCAGGAGTTAAATTGTTGTTTGTATTAGCAGGAGTTAAATTGTTGTTTATATAGCAGGTTTCTGCTTTTCTTGGGTAATGAAATGGAATTATCAAAAAAATATCGATAATAGAATTACAAGATTATCACCTATAAATAAAAAATTTCAATAATTATAATGGTTATAGCAGTTATTAACTGTAACCTAACCGTTAATTTATTATTTATTTTTAGAATAATAAATCTATCACCCCCAAAATATTGTATTAAAAATTAAAAAAAACATATTCATCTAACACTCTTCTTCCTCATTACGACGAAACAGGTGACCGAAACTGATATTATTACGACGACAAAAGCCATTAAAGATCCTAATAGACTCCACATATTCCCAATCTTTAGTCTGATTTTATGAGGATCATTAATGGTTGATGAATCCTATGGAAACCACATGAAACAATAGCCTAATTCAATGGAAGTGGTGAATGTTTCGAAATATCAATGGTCGATGATGTGCATCGATGAATCGAGTCCTTTCGAAGTCGAGAAATCAACATGCAAGCAGTGACGGATCCAAAAATTAAAATAAATGTCTAAAAATTTATTATTCTTTTCTTAAAATTAACTGGTATAGAACTATTTTTATTTTTCATTTTCTTTAACACATTAGACTAAACTTAATCATTTTCAAAATATCAGGATACACTTGACCCTTAAGGGGCTTAATGCATCTGCCCACCATGCAAATATTCTTTAAATTGGTTCCTCGGGTTGATTTGTGCAATAGGAAAAGGACATGTAGGCTTAATCCATGAATAACTAAGACATGTCTGAACTTACTAGGTTGAATCACCGTTCTCAATCCAAGCTGTTATTTTTTCCACTTTTGAGATCAAACCCTTGAGCAAAACATCAACTGAGGCCAAAAAAACAACCGAGTTAACATTAACACCAACATGATTGCCATTGATATCACCGAGTGACGGGTTAAAACTGGTGTCAAACTCATCGATGAACAAAGAAGAAGAATTTTGAGAGTTGAAGTTATCTTCGAGCTATAGGAGTACCATGTAACCATTGAAGAAGCTGGAATGTTGAATACATTTTGATATTTCGATATAACAAATTAAGATAAATGAATTTTAAGATTTTCCAAATGATTTTCTAAGTATATTCGATATAATAATTCGAATATCAAAACATTACTCTAAATCTTTCAAAAGTCATTTTAATCCTTACTCAAGTGTAAAATTAAGTTTTAATCTTAAAACAATTTCAAAATAATTTTACAAAGTATTTCGAACCGTTTCAAAGCCAAAAATTTTAGTTTGCTCAGAGGGAACCGATTCCCCCCAATGGGGTACCGATTCCCCCTGAATGGTTTGGCTCCGAGATTTCCAGTATGCTCGGAGGGAACCGATTCCCCCCCAGGGGTATCGATTCCCCCCTTTTGTAACGGTCGAAATATTTGAATTTTACACTTAGGGAACCGATTCCCTAAGAGGGGTACCGATTCCCCCCACGCTCCAAGCTGTTTTATTAATTGTTTTCACACTAAAACGGCTATATTATCTTCACTAATCATCCCTAACGTTCAGAAATGATTCAAGGTGTATTTAAACAAGCTTAGAAGCCATTGATCAACAACAAGAAACATCAAGCAACTAGAATCAAGAGAGAATCAAAGAGAAAGCATCAAACCTCAAGTTTGAGCATTTCAAGCCTATTTTTCATTCAATATTCATTTTACTTTCAAGAACACTTATTGTGCTCAATTGTATTCATTTTTTAGTGTTCTTTTCTTTGTTCTAGAATTGTGCAAACAATCTACCTTGTGAGGATTTCCTTGTAAGTTTGCAAAATTTGTATTGTTCTCTTTGGGAGAGAGTGTTCTCAAGAATTTGGGGTATAATTCTTGAGGGTTTGTAAGGTTACTCTTTGTCCTCAAAAGAAAGACAAATTAGTGAATTTGTGGAAAATCCTTAGTGTGGATAGCTAAGGCAGTAGACGTAGACTTTGGTTGATAAAGTCGAACCACTCTAAATCGCTGTGCAATTACTTTCAATTTTCTGCAAAAGCTTCCACCAAAATTTTAATTGCCAATTCACCCCCCTCTTGGCCGATTCCGTCAATCGATTAACTCAACAATTGGCATCAGAGCCTAACTCATTTGAAGGTTTAATCGCCTCTTGAGTCGATTCGGGAAGAGTTATATCAATAATCAAAGTCATCAATGGCCTCCGCTTCAAACTTCGACTCCGGTCTCGATTCGATTCCCGTCAACAAGCCTCATTTCTTTAATGGGGCTAACTATGCCTATTGGAAGAATAGAATGATGTACTTTATTCAAGCAAGTGACATGGGAGCATGGAATGTCATAGTAGAAGGATACATCAAGTCTCTCACTCATCCAAGATTGTGGAGTGAATGAGAGACAAAAATGTTCCAGCTCAACTCCAAAGCCATCCATATCATATTTTGTGCTCTTGGACCAGATGAATACGTAAGAGTTTCATCTTGTACAACTGCCAAAGAAATATAGGAAAAACTTCAAGTCACTCATGAAGGTACCGATGAGGTAAAGAAATCTAAAATTAGTATTCTAACGCATAGCTATGAAAATTTCAGGATGAAACCAAATGAAGATATCAAAGCTATGACGGATAGATTTTCAACGATTGTCAATGGTCTCAAATCATATGAAGAGATCATTTCAAATGAAACGCTTGTGAGGAAGTTAGTCTACTCCCTCCCAAAATCGTGGCAATCAAAGAAGACGACAATCATCGAGTCTAAGGACCTAACGTCCTTAACTATTGAAGAGCTAATCGGTTCACTCCTCACTCATGAAATGATGCTTGAAGATGAGGTGGGCCTTGATAAAATTGAAGAGACACCAAATGAGAAGGAGAAACAGAAAAATATTGGAGTTGCTCTCAAATCCACAAAAGATGAGAGTGATTCGGATGAAGATGACGATGACGAGGAAATGGCATTGTTTGCCAAACGGTTCAGAAAAATGATGAGACCTTACCGAGGAAGAAAATTCAAACGAAATGAAGGCCTCAAAAATGAACCAAAAGAGAAGGACCCGATCATTTGCTATGAATGCAAAAAGCCATGACATGTCAAATATGATTGCCCACAATTGAAGAGGAAGGGTAAATCAAAGAATAAGCACAAGGCTCATGTGGCTACATGGAGCGATGAAGAAGGTTCCGATGAAGAGGAACGAGAAGTAGCAAACTTGTGCTTGATGGCATTCGGGGGAGATTCTAAGGTAACCTCTAACTCATCTGATTTTGATGATTTATCATATGATGAGCTATTAGAGGAATATAATGGGTTGGCTTCAGATTATGAGAAATTGTTTTTAAAATATAAAAATGATGTTTCAAAATTGAAAAATAAAAATAAACTCATATCCAAAACCAACAACGATCTTGAAAGTAAAATCAAAGATTTGCAAATCAAACTAGAAGAGTTTGAAAAGAAAAATTTAGATTTGCAAAATTTACTTTCAAAGGTCAATGATGATCATCAAAAGAAAATTGATGATCTTAAAGCTTCTTTTGATAAAGTTGGAACAAAACATTTTGAAAATGGATAAAATTCAAAATCCAAATTTGTTAGAAAAAGTTTTAAAAACCACAATCATAGAGGTCCCCAAAGAACCTCTAATGGAAAAATCGTTAGAAGTATATGGGTTCCTAAAGAGCTCATTACTACTAAAGATAATGATATCCTACACAAATGGATACCTAAGGGGACTAGGATTTTAGAAACTAATGAATATGGACCCAAAAGAATTTGGGTACCAAAAATTAGAAATTAATCTATGCTTGTAGGAAAAAGAGCATTGCTACAAGGCACGAGAAACAAATTCAAACTCATGGTACCTTGGTAGTGGATGCTCAAGACACATGACCGGAGACAAAAGTCGGTTCATTAAGCTTAACGCCAAAAATGGAGGAGAAGTGACTTTTGGTGATGATTCAAAAGGTCACATTGAAGGTATTGGTACTATTGGTAATACCTCTTCTATACAAATTAAGAATGTTTTTATATGTGAATGGATTAAAGCATAATCTATTAAGTATTAGTCAATTTTGTGATAAGGGATTCAATGTCATGTTTGATATTAATGGTTGTAAAGTCATTGACATTGCATCTAATCAGATTATGATTGTTGGTCATAGAATAGGAAACATATACATGGTTCATTTAGATTCTATTGATATGACTAATTTGTGCCTAGTTGCTAAGGATGAACATGATAGTTGGTTATGGCATAGGAGACTAGGACATAATAGTATGAGTATTTTGCAACGACTAATTCAAGGTGATTTAGTTCGAGGGTTGCCTAAGCTTAAATTTGATAATGATAAAATATGTGATGCTTGTGCTAAAAGAAAACAAAAGCGAGTTTCTTTTAAATCCATTAATGACGTATCAACTAGTAGAGTATTACAATTGATCCATATAGATCTTTTTGGGCCAACTAAGACTACTAGCTTGGGTGGAAAACAATATGCATTTGTCTTGGTAGATGACTATTCTAGATATACTTGGGTTCTATTTTTAAGTACTAAAGATGAAGCATTAGAACATTTCATCACATTTTCAAAAATAATCCAAAATGAAAAAGGTTACTCTATAACTAGTGTTAGGAGTGATCATGGCACTGAATTTGAAAATCTTGGATTTATTGAGTTTTGTAATTCTAATGGTATTAGCCATTATTTTTTCAGCACCTAGAACCCCTCAACAAAATGGAGTTGTTGAGAGGAAAAATCGAACTTTAGAAGAAATGGCTAGAACCATGCTTTGTGAAAATAATTTGCCAAAATATTTTTGGTCGGAAGCCACAAATACCGCTTGTTATGTTGTAAATCGAGTAATGATTAGGCCAATTTTAAAGAAAACTCCATATGAAATTTTCAAAATAAAAAGCCTAACATTA